TTCTCTAATAATAACATGACTCGAAATTTTGAAAATGTAAATATATAAAAAAAGGGGTAATCCACTGCCCTACCCCAACCCAAACTTGTCCCACTACCATCTCTAGTTCTACTGTTCCCAAGAGGGTTGAATTTGATTAGCTTAAGACAAAGGAAATATGCACAACCAAAAGTTTCAAGACCTAGATGGTGGAAAAGAAATTTCGTGTTGATTATAGGAGTAGACATCCAATTTGTGAAGTAAAAATTGAAGAACGATATGGGCATTTTTGTGGATACCCTTATTAATAGATTATAATTTGTTCATTTGAGAGGAATCTCACAAGTACTACACAGTTTAGATATACTTTTAGCTTGGACCAAAAGGATAGTTGATAGAACAAATCTTAAGATTATTGGGCAATTATAAGTGTAGATACATTAGCAAGAATGGTTGAAAGATACAATTGATGTGCATAATTTTATTGTTATCCGCAATTAGGGATGTCAATGAATCGAGTTGAACCGGCTCTTCAACTAAAACTTGAGGTTCGGGCTCGATTAGAGTAAAAATGGTTCGAGCTTTTTTTGGCCCAAGCTGAGCAGAGTTTTTGTTCGACCAAAAAATTTAGGTTCCACCCAAACTTTTAACTAGGCTATTATAAAACCAAGTTTGCTCTTTTTATTTTTTTTTTAGATAAAAAAATAAAATACACTTAGTTGCCTACTGCCTTAAAAGGCAATAAATTTTGCCTTGCGCTTGCTATTGCCTATGGCTTCATTTCATTTTTTTAGGGTCGGCTCGTCATGGGCTGGCTATGCACAAATTTTTCAAAAGACGAAATATAAAATTCTATGTATCACATAAATGACTATACATAGATTTGGGAGACCTTTGTTGTTGATTGTATATCATGGTCCATGTGGAAATCCCATATTCGTACACGTGCCATTGGGGGTCAAAAGAGTTATAAAAAGGTCAACATTCGAGGTGTTGCACTGAATGTTGAGGTCGTTTCACTAGAGTTATCCGAACTGGTCGAACTCCATAGCTTCTGAAGTCCGTAACGACTAGAAGAGGGTTTGATAAGCACATCTTTGGAGTTGATTGACATGATATTCTTATTAAATAGATTTCAACAATGTCAACCTAAAAATGTAGAGTGGCTGACCCCTTGTCAAATCAACAATTCGGTTAGTTAGTTTGGACTTTTAGTCCAAATTAAATTTTGAAAAAAAATTTGTCCAAATTTTTGGCCCACTTATATTTCAATAACTATTGATTAACAAAAAAAAAAAAAAAGGATTAATAGACAGATCAACAGGTGTCTGTTTGAGCTTGCTTGCTTTTTAATTATTTATTTATTACTAAGAATATATTTTGAAATTGTGGATTAATAGAGAATGTATGATTAAAAAATAAGAAAAAAATTTGGGTTTGCATATGATATTATTTTATTTAAGAATATGTTGTTTAAAAGAAAAGAGAAATTTTATTATGAAAATAATTAGGATCAAACAAGGACTGGGAAACTTAAGAATTTAGTTGTTTTTTATGTATTATGTAGCTTGACTGCCTGAATATGGAAAAAAAAATGCTAAGTGTAACATGATGAGTTTGTGAAAGAAAATTCTTAATGTTATTACTTACTGACAATATCATAGATTGAAGGGAATTGAGATATAGTTATGAGATTAGGTTTATCTTTTGATTTTTATTTTTCTTAAAAAAAAAGTTAAAAAACAAAAACGATAAACATGTAGTTGGATTAGGTCAGTTTAGTTAATCAGCGGTTTGAGGTTTCAAACCATGATTGAACCAATCTACGAAAATTTTGTTTAAAAAAAATAATATTAAACCAAACCAATTATCCATGTCAAACCAATCCAAATCGATCAGAATTTGTTCGAGACACTACTGGAAGTGAAAAAGTAATCATTAGGAAAATTGATTGATTTCTTTACTCGAAGTCAATAATCTTTTTCTTCCATTAGAAGTTCTTTTAGTCAAACAAATTACTTTCAAAATGTAATTTAAACATGTTCAAAAATTTCTTAATCTCAAAATAATTTTTGACTTTTCAAAAATCATGTCAAATGAACCCTTAATTGTGGGGAAAATTAAGTGATAAATATCACGTCTAATGTGAATGTAGTAGAGTTACACAAATACGTGTCACGAATTCAATTGAACTCCTAATAAAAAGACACATGTCTAGGTAAAAAACCAACAAGCCAAAACAGGGTAACAGTTTTAGGACTAAAACAAAAAGGTCACATGATTTCTTAGTAGAACGAACCTGCAAACCCTATACAGTGTCCCATTTCTCCTACGTCCGCCTGAACAATATGTAGACAAAATGAAAGCTCATGCTTGGCTGTGATTTCAGAAAGATAGGTCAAAAGCATGCAAGATTGTAATAGAAGAAAGATAATAAATTAAGAGCAGTGCCTTTTGGCCAGGGTGAAATCGGCGCCTCACGGTGAAATTCCAGCCAAAAAAACAGGGCGCCACCCATTGGAGGGGTGGGTCAGCCTGGCCAAATAGATTTTTCCATGAATTAAAGGCTGTTTAATTAAATCGACACTTAAAAGAAGTAAAAATTAGAAGAAAATATAGAAGTGTTATGAATTAATAAATATTCAATATTCGGTCACTTTGAATTGGATCAACTTACTAATTAAGATCAAAATACATTGATCACGTTAGACCCTCATTTTATAAAATATATTTTTACTCAGATTTCTGTTGGATTTTTAATTTAAATGAGATTATTAATTATTTTTAGCTAAA